GCGAGCAAAGATTAGCGTCAACGCAACAATTTCTAGCTGCCGATGATGACATTTGACGTTTTATAAAATGATATAGATAGATTTTTTCAACAGCATACAAATGTACATATATATTGTTTGTCTTATAATATATATATTTGTCTTATATAATATATGTATATTACTTTGTCTTATATATATATATTACTTTGTCTTATATATATGTATATTACTTTGTCTTATATATATATATTACTTTGTCTTATATATATATATATTACTTTGTCTTATATATATGAATATTACGCTTGTGTGGTTGAGCGGTTACTCGAAGTGATTTTTTGAACTGAGATTTGTCTGCTATTTTCGTTTAATATTATCACTGCATCGATTGTTGATCGCACGTGCAATCAGCATTTCTCGCTGCTGTTCGTTGCTATCTGTCTATTTTTACACTTTTGAGGCAAATGTACTACATTAGGGTAGTTATTGTTTAATTTGCACAGAGCAAAGTCGGTAATATAGAGCAGGCTAAATAATTTTTGCAAACAAAAAACAAGCATAGTAGAATGATACACATCGAAAACAAAAGATCAAAAAACAAGCATTAAGGGGAAAATAATTTACGGGCGAACTAAGGTCGGGAAAAGAAAGGTGTGGGGCGTGGTTGAATTTTTTAGGGTTAAAAATTGTTAAACTCGATTTGCGGCAAAACTGCGCGTCCTATAGAAAAAACTTGTATGTCAATGTTGTAGGCAAAAAAAATATCGATAACTTTTGTATGTAGACGTTTTTTAAAAAAACTCAAAATTTAATTAAAAAATTTAACTAACCAAAATGTGTTTGAAAATTTCAATGTGCCTAACGTTGCCAGAGCGAGCTCAGCTACGGCGATCCCTACTGATTATGTGTGCTTTGCATTTAAGACTTCCGGAACGTGCAATGAAACTGCGTCAGTAAACATATAGAAATAAAAAATTAATGTTATAATGTATATACCTATAGGTATAGATAGATGTGTTTAAGATTTGTGGTATAATACTATGATCTGACCGATGCTTAATCACAAGATTTAGGCTGTTGAGTAGATAATCTCACTAATCAACTAGATTTAGCGAAATTCCGCCAAACATAAATGACACTTGTTAATCTCCTCACCAAGTAGATTTGAAGCTAATCAATTCGAAATCTTTCTGTGTGACCCTGATTTAGCGCCATCTGTTTGTCAGTAGGTTAATTTATCACATTATCAGAGCTGATTTAGACGCTGCAAACTGTCAAAGTGAAAAAAATAAAACAAGCAAATAAAAAACAAGTAAATAATTAAAACAATATCAGCTAAATAGCATCAAAAAAGAGGGTAATGTGGTGTGAGGCTGCCGAAGCCGTTCAAATAGAGTTGTGGCGAAAAATGCTACAGCTTTGAACGGTTGGACAGTCTAGATTAGTGAGTAGATAAAATGTAATCTAATCACTTCAAATTTTTGGTGGGAATATATTATTAAAATTTTAAAAATAAATTTAATTTGTCAGATACTGATTGGAATTTATGCCCGGTCAAAGATTGTTTAATATTTTAGCAATAATAAGAAAGGTTTTATGCCTACAAAGCTACAATAACAACTTGGGGTAATCACACGCTTTGGTAAAGGCTATTCTTCAAAAAATTTTAATATTATATAATAATAATATAATGTAAGCAGAATGCTTTATCTATTACTTTTTGTATCCAGCCTTAATCAAATGGTTCCAAACGGTTTTTTTGTCCAATGTTTAGGTCCTGGACAATCGTAAGCGATGTTTGGACTCGACGATTTCCATTATTTGATAGATTTTTTCGATAATTGGTCTTCCAGAGCTTGATGCATCTTTGACATCGAAATTACCGGAACGGAAAGGAACGGTAAAATTTTGGTTGTTTTCTTTGCTAGTATCCATCTTTGACGCGCGCTCAAACAAAACTAAATCCACCAATCACAAAACTGTCAAAAAAAGCTTTTTTAGTATGAAATGTCATCGTTCTAACGCCATCCCGCCGAACCCGATCGGACTTATACAACGCGAGATACAGATAAATAACGCCACCTATTGGAAAAATTAACGATTTCTTTTTACTACACCTACGAAACACAATTTTTAACATATTTCAATAATTGAAATATAAAATATATTGCAAAAATTCCATATAATTATTAGGTAGATATACCGCATACACCACATATACTGGTATATAAATTATTCTCGCTTTTTCTTGCTAAAAGCTAAAGGGCCTGTACGCCCTTCGCTTGTTTGCCAAGGGCCGTGGCAATGTGTAACACAAATTATTTACATACACACAAATAAGTGGATGAAAAGCTGTGCAAGCGCCAGCGTTGCGCTCGTCTCCGCCAACACCCAACCACAACGACTTAATTAGAGGGGCCGGTACTTGCAGCTAGCTGTTGCTATTGCTGGCCGCTTTTGCTGTTCAGGCACTTGCCAATAAATGCTTGGCTTATGAAACAAGTTCGAAGCGTTTCTTTGTTATTTTATTTTTTATTTTCATTACTTTTTTTTCAATTTTTACACTTTATGCTTGTCTTCACTATGTGTGCCTATAGTCTGACAGCTATGTGGCTTTGGTGTTTGCTTGAAACAATATGTATGCTATATATAGTAGTTTGTTGTTGTAGCGAGATATATGTATGTCGAAAACACTGTGCTCCGCTCAACCCCCCTACCGCAGACAATTTGAACAGCTGTTGAGTGATTTTCGTTATTCTAAGTAGACACGTATGCGGGAAATGGGGCTCGTTGCTCACAAACACACACATATGCATATGTATATGTATGCATATATTTACACAAGCGCAATTACATATAGACATATATGTGTAGGTATTTCTATTTATGCATTAGTACAATAAAAAGTCTGTATATCTATAAAAATGTATGTATGTATGTATGTAAATACACGTGTGTATGCATTTGGCGTGTGATCTCGCCTGTTTTTCGCTATCACGTGGCATTTTTTTTCGCAAATGCCAATGTGCTCATGCAATGATCAACCGGTTCGTGAGCAGGTGAACTACATAATTGCAAGCTACAGCGGCGCACACCCCTCTTCGCTACAATTAAATACAAACATATGCCTTTACATACATTTACACTACATACATTCAATGGTTCGGTTTGCAATTTATAGGAATTTATTTATTTTATTATTATTTTGCTTTTTTTTACAATTTTCTGCCAACAACCGCACCGTTGGCTCGCCGTCATATCGGCCGTACGAGACACACCTCCCTACTTCGAGTGCTGTGTATACTGTTATTTCATGCCGTTCATGGTTTATTGCAGCAGTGCTGGTGCTCTTCTTTAGCGGTGTAGCTGGTTGGTTGGCTGTGGCTGGTTCGCTTACGTGTGCCTACATGTGAGCCCCCTTTTCTATTGAAAAGTATTTAATATTTGTGCAATGTGGCGCGATTTATATTACTACAGCACTAATTACTGCGTGATTGTTTTATTTTTATTTTTAAATATAAATATACAATTTTTTTTTGGGCTTGTAGACGTAATTATTGTAATGTAGAATTGTTGGTAGTATTCCACTCATTACTTTTAGAAAAAGTAAACTGAAAATTGCCGCAAAACGATATGGAATATTTATTCTTAGCTGACTTTATTAAGCGTTCAGCCAATGAGCGTTTTATTTTTATAGTGATATACTTCATTTTAAGCTAATTATAAATCAGTTTTGGAGTTTTTTTTCGGTCTATTGTTTACATTTTCACTTATTGCTTCCAAGTTTTTTTGTTTTATTTTTCAGTTTTAACTGATGAATCAGCTAATTTTATTAATTCACGTTTAATTCCGATACGAACAAAGAGAGCAAATAAATTTTGAAGACAGAATAACCGCTTCTGCAGGCATAATACGTTATTTAAAATGCATATATGTATGTATGTATCGAAATCAGCAAAGAAGTCACGCAATATCATATGTGTAAGCCAGAAAATTGACTTCGACCTTCTAACATTTATAAAGGAGCTAGTCAAGAGCTGTGTTATAAAAACTTATTTCATTCAAATAATAAAGAAACAGCAAAGAAGACGATTTTTAAACAAAAATAATGAAGAAGAAACACTTTAAAACTACTTGGGAAATAGCTTACACCATTCCAAAAAAAAAATCGAGGCAGATTCGTGCATTTATTAACGTATGTACATATATAACTACGAATATTGACATAACTTTAATGCTTTTAGACACGGTTATGAAATTTTAACTTGAGTACTTTGAATTTGGCACTTCAAAATCCATTAGCATTTGGTAGGCAAATTTAAAAACTGCGCAAAAAGTTAAAAATTTACTAATTTATTGTATAATTATTGCAGACCAAAAAAATGAGACCAAATATATGATTTTCTATGTACATGAATGAATGTATGCCGCCCAGAGAATTCCTTATATGCACACGCTTAAATGTTGACATGTTGCATTTTATATTTTTATTTACATATATATGTATGTACATAACCTAATATCGTTAATTAATAAATTTTAATTTTTTCTACTTTATACCAAATCAAACTGACAGCAACCCGTGCAATCTAAGTGATACAATACGAAGTACATGTAGGTAAGGAATTAACGACAATTTTTTTGTAAAAAACAAGTACTGATTTATTCTCTTGCGCAACAATTACGAAACATTGCAATTATTGGTATATAATATATGTAATTCCTAATCCAGACGTTCTAGATACCAGCATATCGAGCAAGTGGTAGAACTTTACTTTTCCACAACTATGTAAAAATATGTACATATGTATATGTATTTTAGTTATAATATTATTTATATTTGCACATACTTATTGTATTTTGTAAATATTTATGATATTAAAATGTTTATTATGTAAACCATTCATATAAGCAGTACCGTTAAAGATTATGTGCGAAAATATTAACAAAAAAAATTGAGAAACTTGCGATTTATACTATTTTACATTAATAACTACATTAACAATATATAGTCTTACCTTCCCAATATCTCTTTCGGTTCATATTTTGCGTAAAAGCCCTTGGCCGCATCCTTATCGGGCAAAACATCATCCTCTTCCTCGTCCTTAGCCATTGGTTCTGGCGGAATTTTGACGGTCAAATTCGGAAGTGGTAAGAAAATTCAATGCGCTGCGCACTGTCAATTTAAGCGTTTTAATCCAAAAGCAAATTAGGTATTGAGAAGTGTGTAAACTACACTTTAATACTAAGAATCAGAGCACAATGTCAATTAGTAACTTAACGCCATTAGTCGCTTTTAGTTGACTAATTAGAGGCCGAGTATTTCGCAAAGGAATAGATTTGGGTTATATAGCGTCTTAGCAACCGCTATGATTATTTATTAATTAAAGACGTTTTTAAGTTTGTTGTTGTTGACTTATCATTATTTCATTTATCAGCAATTTTCGGCTTGGCGTTTGTATTCTAAATATTAATTAATAAATTATTTAATATAATTTTAGCAAACAAAATAATAGATAATAATAATAAATCTTTTTCACTACACTGCACTTGATTATATTTGGTATTACTTGATTTGTTAATTAATTTCACGTGATTCGCGTGTTGTGATACCTGTTCACATATTTATCATTACATTGCTTTAGACTTTACATTAGTTGTTCAGTCATGCGTCGCCTTATATTTAAATTTTGGTTTCTTTTTTTTGCTACTTGTTAGGATTTTCAGCGATTACACAACAACACAAAACTTTTGGTACATGTATGTATGTGAATATTCATTCAAATTTTCGCACCGCTATGTTGATATAGCTCGCACGCACGACAAGAGGCGAACAAAAACGTATCTCTATATGCATGTACTGCATTCAACTGAAGACGGTAACTGCTAGCAAGCTTGCTACATAAAAATTTTCCATTCATATCTTGTTTTCTCCTTATGTACTAACGAATATTAGAAAAACTGCAAAATAATTGACATATGGTTATGTCTTATTATTTGGTACCCTAATGTTTAGCTTTTATTATATATATAATATGTCTGCTTATCTACGCACAGCAAGGGTATTATTCATAGACAGAGATTCAACTTTCGTTAAAAAATTACTATGGCGCTGATTTCTTCTATTTCCATCATATGGCTTTTTCCAATCTACATTATTCGTCCGTCTGTCTGTCGTCTATTAAAATCATTCACCAACCTATTGTTTCCTGTAATTTGCTACACTTGCTCTATGGTCACCGTCACTGATCTGTGTAGCGCTTATTCCTACTTCTTTTCTTTTTGTTGCTGTTGCCGTTGCTGCCGTTCAATGTCAAAAAAGGTTATAGCACATCCAACGTTTTTGACCTCTTGCTATGGCCACCGATACATATCTGCCACACTGCACCACTTATATTTCAATAGCAAATCCTTACCACTAATTATTCATTATTATTTACTACGAAATTTGTTCACAAATTATTTAGCAAGTTTTCTTTGCGTTGGCAAATAGTTCATACTCGCAAAATAGCTATTTATATATAAATTTGGTGCGATTTCAGTCCAACACTTTTGCCGTCGCTGCGTTTCGCGCTGTTTCACTGTTGCTTCTTTATCCAATGACACTTCGTTTTTATTTAAACACACAACATATCAACGATACACACTCACGCTTGCGTTGAGCTGCTCCACGCCGTGGTTTATTCGTTGATTCGTTCACAAATGGTCGAATAGCAACATTTCAATGAGCATGAAAATCATTTTATCTGCAAAAGCAAATGTCGAACAAAATAAAAATTTACAAATAAAATTGAAGAAATCCGGGAGATAAATGTGAAGACTATTTGACGTTCCCTTTTGTTCATACGTTCTCTGCTAATTACTTAACCCTTCAATGCAGTGTTCGGCAGCTTTTGACGATGTCAGTATAAAACTTAAATGTACGAGTATTTTGACGTATTTATTGATTGGGCAGAGTTTGCAAATAATTTTATTATGTGATTATTAAAAATTGTTTATAAATATATATTTTAGTATCATTATAAGTGCAGGAAATATATGACATAATCCTTACAATGCCAACACACTGTGTGATAGGGTCTTCGTTAATAAAAATATATAAGCATATATCTGTACAAATTTATTGGTACTTTATTATTTTGGAAATTTTCAAACTTGTTTTTCATTTGTTTGATTTGTACTATAATTTTAAGTCTTTTTGTTTAACTATATTTGATTTTTCTTCGCATGATTTTCGCATTTTTCTTAGCAGTGGTTGGCTATTATTTATCAGCAAATATAGTTGGCAAGGCCAGCAAAATTCATTAATCTGTATTTTTCTTTGCCTAACATACGTAAATATTTACAATATTAAATTCCAAGCAACTTGCGTTGATAAATGTGGAAACCTATTAAGATTTGATGCTAAAGAATCAAAACTTAGATTGGTAGAATATATATCCTGTTATGCGACCAAACTTATAATACATTATGCATCTAAATACTCAAAATTCAAGCAGACTTTAGAGCTGCAACCAGAGATGTAAATGTAATTGTACGCTCTCTGCTGCAACTAAATTTATGTGAAACAATATTTTTTGGTTATTATCCAACATTTGTTTCACATAACAGTGGTACGAATTTAACAAAAAGTTGAAAAAATTATTAAATATAGATATGTAATATATATGTGCATGTATACACATAGTTCAGCTGCAGATTGCTCTCAAGCTACGTGCAAATTTTCGCTGTTTTGTACCAACTATAGTTATATCTACATTTAACCTTGATCTTACCGATCTCTCACCACAGTCGGATCTACGTAAACGGAATGGACCCGGATTTTTATACGGCAAAAGACTGCCAACTCGGCAGCATACCTCAACATTAATTTAGGCATGTTTTCTCCAGCTGCAACAACAACATCCGATTTTCCGCTTCTAAATTGTTGATAATGGTGTTTTAGAGGATTCAAAATCTGACGCTTCATTAATTTTACGTTATGTCAAATGTGTGCATGAAGTTCATATGTATAAATTCGAAAATTATTTAAATTGCACGAAATTTGTAGCAATAACTAAAATAATACAGCATGTTATTTTGATGTAGGTATAAAAGCGAGTATAAATGTATTTATATTTTTTATTATCATATAACTTATAATTTTATAATTACATGTTGCTTTGTTGACGTATACACAGCATATAAAGCTGATGCATTGTCCGACTTAATGTTGTATGTGCCACTGCATATCAACCATAAGATACAACTGAGACTATATGCAATTACAGCTAGCAATTCTTGTTTCTATAATTTTTGTTATTTTAATTGAAATTGTTTAACTAGTGGTGTTTATTAGTAATTATTGCATAACTGAGTTGATCAACAGCAAATCGTCTGTATTCAATTTTCTTTTACTAGCGCAAAAATTTTTATATGCATATACTCTTAATTATGAAATACACATAAATATGTATATATATATTTATATACATGTATATTTATTTTCAATGCGGCATTTGTAATTGTATGTAATTAGCATTAAACTTTTATAAAATATTTAATAATCTTAGTTTTTTTTTCAATTAATTTGTATGTACTATGATTCTAAATCATTCATATGTATGGTACTGGGTATATTACCCAAGATTTGCATGTAAGCACTGTGTATATGTATAGGAAAATCTACGGAGGAGAAAGAGCCAGAGCACCAAGCTTTTATTTATTAAAGTTTACATTGGTTTATAATGTGAAAAATCTAACAAAATTGTTGTAGTTGTATTTTGTGTCAGTTTTAAATATACAGTTGTGGTAAGGCGCATGAGCTGCATAATGAAATGCAAAATATATATAATATATTTAGGTTTTATTTTTTACATTAGAGATAAAATTTAATGTGTAATTAGAATTTTTATAAATTTGTGTATTGATGAATGACAATAAACAATATTTTTAAATTAGGCTTACAATTTAAATTTAAGCAAGCCCGTTAAACAAATAAACTTTTTGTCAAATATTTTATGAAATTTGTTACTAACTAGCAAATGCAGACTTTTATTAAATTTCTTTTTTATTTTAATTAAAAATATTTTTCATAACTTTTTGTAACATTCACATATGCATATAAGCATGTATATAATCTGTGATTGGTGGCTGTAAAACAATTAAAAGCACGCATTCTAATGTAAATATTGGTTGACATGTGTCTACAGTTAAAAGTAACGGGGCGGAATTGGTGTAGCGCATAGGCGTTAGTGGCAAAGCAACATAAAAGTGTGCAAGGAATCATTTGAAGACATATGTGTGTGTAAATTTTTGTATTTTGCATATTTTTATCTTACAGTGTACATATATATATGTACTACGATTGTTTAGTGATTATGTCTGGCATACGTATATACAGTTACATACATATATAAATTAGTTATAATTTAGGTATGAGCAAAATTTAGAATGTTTTTCAAGGTGTGTGTGTGTGTATGTGCGTATGTGAAAGACGCTTAAACAATATTGTAAAAATATATGTGTTAGGAGTTGTACTGAGTTCGTTACATTATCGTTACGCCTTAAACATGCTGTATTCTTGTGTAATGTATATATGTTTGTATTTGTTGCTTAAACATGCAACGCTCGTCATTTAATTGTTGTTTTATGCTACCTTTAGGCGTTTTATAAGCAATATTAAACATTACAAAAATATATATGTGTGTATGCATATAAATTGTTCTTCAGCATGAAAACAACATAAACAAATACAAAATATGTAAAATATGTATAGTTTGCGTGTGTTTTTGTTTACATGCGATTTTTATAATATTATTATAGCTAATATTAAGCACAAGCATAATTATTATTAATTATAAACATAAAATAATACGCCATAGTTTTCTTCTTGTTTAATATAAAGATTTACGAATTACAAAAATAATGCCTATATGAAAGAATGTGTGTAAAAGCTATAGCAAAACTCTAACAGAAATTGTCGAAATAAAACCAAACGCGATTTGAAAACATTATTTGCAAGTTTTTCTACGTTTATATGTATGTTTAACAAGCGCTGTGCATACAAGTTCTTATTTGTCTTTTTCCATTTGCGCGCTCTGCTTGTTGTTGTGACTAATAGGAATGCAATGCTAAGCCGTGCTTTGCTTTATATCCATCATAACTGAGCGGCAGCCTTTGCTACACGCCTGCCTTATCTCATTTTTGTTGTTTACTGCTGCTTTAGTTTTTGTTGTTGTTGTTGTTGTTTATTTTTATGCTTACACCTGTTCTATATGTGAATGCGTACGCTACACCTACTGTTGCGCTTGAATTTTGGCCTGCATTTGTGCCAACATTTCCTGCATGCGTCGCAATTCCGCTTCCTTCTCTTGCAATATTCGATCCTTTTCGGAAATGACGCTGTTGACGACAATCTGCGTTGGCACCATAGAATCACGCTCGACTTTCATGCCATTCTCCTTGCGCCCTTTGGCCAAACGTTCGGAACGATAGTTTTCATAGTGCACCTCTTGTGTGACCTCTTGCAGGTCTTGCATGTGTGTGCTGAAATTGAAAAGAAAAAATTTAATAAAAATTAATATTAAAATTGCATTTATTACAAAAACCCAATTGCTGAGCTTACATTAACATTGTGCGTAATTTGATGAAATCACAGTGATCGGGATTTTCCACCTCCACGACACCCCAGGGATACAAGCGTCCACGCACTTTTTTGCCTTTCACCTCCAGCAGCGTATTTGCACCGCATACCGCGAATGGCACGGCCTCTTTCAGCTGCTTGACTTGTTCTTTGTAGTCCTCATCCTCGTCGGAATCACAATCGGGCAGTGGATATATTTTAATGCCGTGATCTTCAATTTCTTGCATAACCCGGCATTTGAGGCGTAGTATCTCCTTCTTTGTGAGGCAGTCAGCTTTCGCGATCACAGGCACTATATTCACTTTAGAGTGTAACTTTTTCATAAACTCAACATCTAAAGGTTTGAGACTGCGAAATAAATCAGCGAAGTGTGTGGTGAAGAAAGTTATATAAAAGTTTTACAGTTATATGAAAGTTTAAGACAGTTGTATTAAAGTTTTACAGTTATATAAAAGTGGAACAGTTATATAAAAGTTTTACAGTTATATAAAATTTTCACAGTTATATAGAAGTTGAACAGTTATATACAAGTTTTACAGTTATATGAAAATTTTACAGTTATATAAAAGTTTTACAGTTATATAAAAATTTTAGTTATATAAAAGTTTTACAGGTATATATAGGCAGCTGGAAGTGGTAGAAGATGAAGGTCTATCGAAATCTCTTCATTATATATAGAACATTATACAGAAGCCAAGAACATGTGCGATTTCTAAAAAACCGTGTCTCCTTTAGCCGGGTCCTTCTTTATATATGTATACTCCCAAAGAACTTAAAAGATAAAATCTAACTGACTTTAACGAAGAGTTATCTAGAAAATTGCCGGTGTTCACCGATTCGATCAAATGTTTGGGGAAATTATACAAATTGTGTCAGCTAAATCAAGAAATTATTACTAATAGGCCTAATTGTTGTTGTAACGAGCATCAGAGGGAAGCCCTGTTTGAGGGAAAGTGCAAAATCAAAAGTCATCGAAATCACTTAACGGTAACGAGCGAACGGTGTTAACGGAGTAAATTTAGCGGGGCATGCAAAGAGGTGGTTATTGTCGCGAGAGTACTCTTTGCGTACAAGACATCTGTATAGTATGTTAGAATCTATTTTGAATAGATAGGAGTTTGTTGTGTTTGTTGTAGCGACAGAAACATTCCTGAAGTAATTTCGAGGAATGGTGCAGAGTTGACAGTCCTTAGCCGGATAAAAAAACCGGGTCCGTTCTGGTTACTTAGACCCGACTGTCGTGGGAACGCAAACGAACAGCAACACGATCGCACGGTCTGCGATGGGTGCTGTTTCGACGCCAAGAATGCTATTCGCTAGCAGAGAGTCAATGAAAGTGTTGTACTGACAATAATCGCGGTTGTATTTGGAATGAAGGAGTACAGACTATCAAACGTAACACGCAAAATTGTATGGTAGTTTAGTGTCGGAATTTTAACGTCATCACGTAATGTCGACTTACCCATGCCCGAAAGGCGATATAAAATAGAAACAGCAGTGTATACGATTGTCTACAATATTGCGCCGATTTAGGCCGCTCTCATCGCGCAAAAAACGTTCATACTGTTCATCTATGTATTCTAGTATGGCGCTAAAACTATCCGAATTATCGATAGCATCCCCAAAGCCCGGTGTGTCCACAACTGTTAGACGCAACTTGACGCCGCGCTCCTCTATCTCAACTGTGGAGGCTTCTAGTTTCACGGTTTGTTTTTGTTTTTCTAAAAAAAAAGAAGAGGCAAAAATGTAGAATTTATACAAATTTACAACTACACATGACAACTCACCTATGGCATCTGGTATCACACGCTCCGGATACAAATCTGTCAGGAAAAGGCTGTTGACCAATGTAGACTTCCCCAAACCCGACTCACCGACCACCATCAGCGTGAATTCAAATCCTTTCTTCACCGATTTACGATGCACCTGATTTGGTAGATTGGCAAAACCCACATAGCCAGGTGTTTCAATACTCGAAAACTAAAAACGAAAATAAAGTCAATATGTGTAATAAAAACATAGTTTCGTTGGTGAAAAAAATTTTAGAGTGAGAGAACGCGAAATTAGTGTGAAATTAAATTGAATGTAAGAGTATTGTAATTAATGCCACAGACATCGACCGACTGTTGTTGTAGTGGTCAAGCCTTTGTGGTAAGTATGTGGCTGACTGGTTGGTTAGTCATTCGAGCGTACGGGCGAACGCAAAGCCACTATGGAAACGTGACGCCGCATCAGCCACATGTCTTATACACCTTACACCGCACACAAACAGCACAAAGCAACAAGAAAATGAAAATTGCATTCATTCAACGTTGGTTGTGCTGTATTTAATGAGCCGACAAGATGGGTTGGGTTAGTCGCGCTTTTTGTTAACTGTTTGTGTTCTGAACTTGCTTTTAACGCCCCTTAGTGTTAAACTTTTATATTATAAATACGCTAACAATAGCACATTTATTTATATATTCAGAAGAACTTCTATATTAAAAAATAATAAAATATATTATTATAAATTTGGGTTTTAAAAGAGCGAATTCCATTAATTTCGAAAATAAAGTTCTAGCTTGACACAAATAATTTAAAATTTAACCAAAACAAAACAAACTACAATGAGAACCGCAAAAAACAAAAACAACTGTAATATAACAGCAACAATGCATATAATGTCACCGAAAGCGCACTGACGGCTAGTCGTGTGAAGATTTGTGGTGAATTAAAAGCGTATTAAGTGTATGTAATGCAATTATGCTATTGTTGTTGTTTTTGCTATTGCATTGCTTTGTAATATGATGCACTTGTTAATTGTAAATAACTGAGTTTAGAGTTTAGAGGAATTACAGTGGGATTTTAAAATCAAAAGCGATTATGAAAGAGAAAATTTGGCATTAATGCTAAGTAAGAAAAGAGTTGTATTTCAATATGGTAGGTGTTAGAAATTTCTTAATATTATTTAGAGTAGGTGTTTATTTAATTTGTGGGAAAATAATTAAAGTCTGATATTAGCTAAAACTAGAAAAAACTTTAACTTCGACTGCACCGAAGCTATAATACCTTTCTAGGTGTATTTCTTATGGCATAAACGAGTATAAAAAGAACTTTAACTTGATTTGGATTGATCAGTTTGTATGGCGGCTATATGCTATAGTGGTCCTATCTAAATAATTTGTACGGAGATTCTACCGTTCGTGTCAAATTTTGAGATATATTCTCAAATAAAAAAGTTTTCTATTGAAGAATTTGATATTTATCGTTCAGTTGTATGGCAGATATATGCTATGGTGGTCCGATATCGGTGGTTCCGGCAAATGAGCAGCTTCTTGGGGAAAAAAGAATGTGAGAAAAATTACAGATCCATATCTCATCAACTGAGGGAGTAGTTCGCGTATATACAGACAGACAGAGAGACATGGCTAAATCGACTCAGCTGATCAGGCTGATCATTTATATATAGATTTTATAAGGTTGTTGTTGTTGTTGTAGCGGCAGAATTCTGCCGAGTTGACAGTCCTTGGCCGGAATAAACCCGGGTCCGTTCCGGTTACGTAGACCTGACTGCCGTGGGAACGGAATTTTATAAGGTCTCCGACGTTGCCTACAGAGTGTACAAACTTCGTGGCAAACTTAATATGCCCAGTTCAAGATATTAAAAAACAGTCAACAACATACATTTACTTATTAGTTCGCTACAATATAAATAAAGTATTGATAATTTCCTACATATGTATGTATTTGCGCGATTACTCATATTGCACTATAATTTTCTGAGCTTTGACGAATGCAAAGTATATATGCATTTATTTACACACTTGATCCAATCGCATAAGCTATTCAAAAAACACTGGTAGTACTTGTATATACATTTATATAGATGTAATTTCCACTTATAAAAAAAAAATATTCTTCAATTTTGCACACTTGTTTCGTAGAAATAAAAACAAATGATAAAAATTACTCAGAGCTTTATTAAAAATGCGCATATTTTTATTTGCAGAGTGTAGCATTATTTAAATGAAATTTTTTTCACATTTTATGACTTTGCTCAATGAAAACTTCATCCAAATATTGCAAAGAAAAGCGGCCAGCTGTTGAGGTTGAGTTAGAACCACGAGCGACTGTAGGCACGAAATCACATATATCATTCAGAAATTTTTAATTCATAACACTTTCAATATGAATAAAGCCAATCAACAAAGCTACGAACCATTGGAATTTTCGCTTTCGCAAACACAAACGATAAGAAATTGTAGTCATAACGCGTGCATTGCATTTCAATCACAGCAAAATATTTTGCGTACCAACAACACACTTACCAACAACGCTTTCTATACAAAAAGAAATTATTTCAAGCAAAGCCATTAAAAGCGTCAACAAAAGTCAAACACAATTGGCGGCGTGCAGTGGAAACCACCGAAAAGCAGGCGGGGAAGAGAGTACACAACGCAAACTGATCTGTAACTCGAACAGCTAGATTGGCTGTATAGTCAAAAATGCATAACACTCGTAATAGCATTGACGACATAATTTACACGCTTTACATATACAAATACAAACAGAAACGCTTTGAGGGACTGTAGTCACAGCAAAAGCGAACAATAGAAACATTGCATTTGCAGCGGCAGTGTTCGTTGGAGGGCACTTGAAATGCGCTTCAAGGCAGTTAAGAATGCATAACGGCGTTACTGTCTGCTCATATGTCTGTTCGCTTGTAATTGTACATTACAATTCAGCATACTGAATTAATAATTCAACAATTCTCACTCGCTCGCTCAAATGATTTCAGATTGGCATGCCACAATTTAAAAACAGACAGACCGACAGCCAGCAACGGTGCCGCCAGCACTGCACTTATAGGAACTTTTACACTTAGGAGTACGCTTGTATGCTTTACTGATTGTTTGATTTTTTGCGCTCTGGCACTGCTTAACATTCGTGGGTGTTGCAGTAGCGTTCTAGATCGACGTGCTATTGCTACTACTCGCTTTTAGTGCACAATACTCGTCCCCCCGAAACGTACACACGTGTGTTGTTGTTTTAGAACAACGACGTAATTTTTTTCTTTTTATTTCTCTTATTTTCTATTAATGTGTTCTTTACATTTTTTCCTTGTTGTTGTTGTTGTCATAAAGGTGATTGAACTGTCTACCACTTGTCAAACGGATATGTGCGACTTTGTTTGAACTGGCTGACTTTTGAAGACGCGTCTGTTAGTACTACAATATATGACATTTTGTATGCAAATTAAGGTTATGCCCGTAGTAGCGTAATTGTGCATAATTAAAATTAATGAAACATTTCTAAAGCGAAAGAAACTAGAATAATAAAATATTAGTTAAGAATTGTGAGCAACTTTTGTAAAACACAATATTATTAATGTATCAAACGAGTAATTTCAGTTCACGATTTCATTGACCCTCAAAAATATTTTTGATGTACATTCATATGTATTTATGCAAGAACTAATATTCCCGTTCCTAATAATAGCAGCCATCCACAATAAACCAACGCATATTCAATATACAAAAGGCACACTTGCAGTTAATTATAATTGATAAGTAAAATATTATATATACATACATACATATGAATATGTGCCGGAAATGTTATTGGCGATACAGTATAATAAATGAAGATTAAGAGGATTTTTTAATGATTTATAGCGATTCAGAAGTTTTCTTACTTTTTGGGGTAATATTTCAGAATTCCTGTGCACGCCCCATTTAGAGCATTTACAATTAAATATAAAAGAATGCGTCTATCCGTAGCTAAATATATGAGCTCCTCCACCACTTTGTTAGGTTAATGTAAACTTACGATTTTGTTGTATGGCTTTTAAACATTAAAGTATTAAAGAACCTAAAAGTAGGTATATTGTGTGCGTTATAGAGAACATATATAAACTTATTACACATTATCTACTTTGGAACTATAAGCAATAAGTTTCACACTTTATCTTGACGCGGTTGAAACGTTAATGTTTGCATACATACGATATCGAGGTATTTCTATTGATAAAAGTCATCTAACAAACAAGTAAAATATGCTTGTAAATATTTTCCGAACTCTCTAATTGTAATTAGCTTTTACACAAGTCTGAAATTGAGCAGGTATGTACATGCATATGTATGTATATTTTCAAAGCCGGTTTTTTATATTGTGGTAAATATTTGTTTTCGTCAACACAAAATGTACATAGTGACTAATGCTAACAACAATTCCTCCTTTGATGCTGTTTGTTTATAAAAAACCTAACTCACACTAATACAAATAAAAACACAAGTTGAAATAAGGATAAAAGGTGTTGGGAGATAAAATGCGCAATTTGCATTAATGAAACACCCCCGACAATTTAGGTTGCTCGTGTTTTTTGAGTTCAATTGACTTTATGCTGCAGTTATCAAAGGGTTGCAGTTTATAGGTAGGGCGCTTTGTGCATTCAGATTTATTTCCGCGATATATTGCCACTTTGAGTATAAATATTTGATTTTACTGACTTTGTTAACACTGTTATATGGTACGTAGAATCATTTTTTGGAATACATATCAATACTACAGCTGCATATGTTAATACAGTATGTAAATTGTAGTCAAGGGTTTTAGCAGCGCCTTTTAAATTATTGTGATTGGATCGCTTTATTTGTCAAAAATTTCAAATAGCATAAATATACACAAGAGCACATTATATGTATTTTTACTGATTTTTGTTTTTCTCTGTAACATCTCCATTTATTTAATGACTTAATAATAATATACAATATTTGTTGCAATGGCTCAGTCAAAAAGGAGAAACAAACCCGCAAAACCAGAAAAAAGCATAGCACGGCAGCACAGGCAGCAAGGAAAACAAGCATACAGGCACACATGCTGTCAGCCAATGAGGCAAACCGCTCTCGGAATGACCTGCTGCAACGGCAACCGCGCCCTTGAATGACTGTTTCATTTGTGTGCAGCTCTCAAAAAACGAATTTATAAATAAAATTCAATATAGGAAAAAATCCAACAAAACATGGTGTTACATGTATGTATGGACTGTAGCTTGAGAAAAATTTGTTAAATTTTTAATGTTTAGCTACTAAACTTACCGATTTTGTGTCTGACATTTTGTCTTTTTGCTGTTGTCCTGTATTCTTCTTTTACTTATGCAGCAACTTTTGTTCAATTATATATGTATAAATACTTTTTACTTTTGTTTGTTCACTTCCAGCAATTGTATATTATTTCGATTAAGAAAAGAAACCAAACGTGTAAAAACGCTATAAATTATTGCAATTGAACAGCGTATATTCAACGCACCCAACACAACACGAAAAAAAAACAATAATCAAATTTCACATATGAAGCGTTGCGGTTTCTGCAGCAAAATTCGGTTGGCGTCGACGTCAGCGTCGATGACAGCAAATTTTCTTGCGAAGCAGACAAAATAAAAGGAGCAAGAACAGCACGTTGCGGCAATTCACAGTGTACGTGGAAGCAGAGCTGTTGATTCGCGTCGTTCTTGTATTTGCTGCTGCTGCTAACGAAGTTACGCTGCCTTGTTTATCTTGCTTATATATATTTTTACTTTAAAACTTCTTACAACTTTCACAATGGTTTTTTCTGCTGTTTAATATCACAATTTAAGTGTGCGTGCGCAAAATATTAATTGGAGTGCAAATTATGAACACAAACTGTTTTTTATTGCACATCAAGCGTAGCGCATTGGAAGCACAACAAACGAATTTATACCAAATGCACTTAATCCAAGAGGGAACAGCAGCGATAATTAATTGCAGCTAAACGTACACACATTCACATACACAAAACAACTTAAAATACTTAAAAATCACCGGTAAAACTCCTAAACGGTTGCATTTCAACTGATTTCAACTGACAAAATTTTACAGCGTACACTGAACGCTCGTGAATACTTCGAATGCTTCGTGAAAACGAAAACGGAGTGAAATGATGATGAGGTTACCAGAAAGCATCAAATCACTATTGCAAAAAAGTACATACAAAATTTAATACAATTTTTGTAATGATTTATTTATATATTAAATGATTACGAAATTATATTACATAAGTTAGTTTCCTTATTAAGCGAAGACAGGTCAAGTGGTCATAAGCAATTAATAATACAGACGAAGCAAATGGTATGATTTTCTTATATGCTTTTACAAATTTCTAAACGTTTGGATTAATTTTCTTTTATGTTGTTGAATTTATTTATTTATTGTTAACTTAATTATTCAATACGGGGCAAAAATATTAAGTAAGCATTTCTGTAAATAAAAAATTATAAATTTTTAATATTATCATTGTGACTATGTAAGCAGCTGTTATTGTTTTGTTTATATGTATGCGTAGTTGTCCTTTTATTGTTATGTGATTTGTTTGAACCTTTTTACTTCCCAAAAAAACGCGAATTCATAGGCATATCATGCGCTTCAGTCAAATATTACGTTTCCATTTACCTAGCAATAAATGGTCCGCGAAACAACAGTATGTGCCTAAACATAATCCGGTGCTCGAGGAGGATATCAAACGACTACAGGATTTCCTGATGTCGAAGTCCAATATAGTTGTGTTAACTGGCGCTGGAATTTCAACAGAGTCTGGTATGCATTAAAATTATGCACAGAAAGCATGCTTGATATCTGAAAAACCCAACTTATCAGTGTAAACATCGACAGGCATACCTGACTACCGCTCTGAGGGTGTCGGCCTTTACGCACGCACTAATCACAAACCCATACAACACATGGAATTTGTACGCTCTGCCGAGGTGCGTCAGCGTTATTGGGCACGAAATTTTGTCGGTTGGCCAAGCTTTTCGGCAACAGAGCCCAATCATACACATCATGCGGTGGCACGTTTCGAACGCGAAGGACGCATACAATCGGTTGTTACCCAGAATGTCGACCGGTTGCACACGAAGGCAGGCAGCAAGAATGTTATAGAATTACATGGTAGTGGTTATGTGGTAAAATGTTTATCCTGCGAATATCGCATTGATCGGCATAAATTCCAGGATATATTAAACAGTTTAAATCCGGAATTTCGTGATGCACCAGATATGATACGGCCAGATGGTGATGTGGAAATTCCCGTCGAGTATGTTGCTAACTTTCGCATACCACCATGTCCGCAGTGCAGCGGACAGCTAAAGCCTGAGATTGTGTTCTTTGGAGATAATGTGCCAAAGCAACGTGTGGAGCAGATCGCCGAAATGATTTACAATGGCGATGGGTTGTTAGTGCTCGGTTCTAGTCTGCTTGTATTTTCAGGTTATCGCATGGTATTGCAAACAAAAGACCTTAACCTGCCAGTTGCAATTGTAAATATCGGCGAGACTCGCGCTGATCATTTGGCGGACTTAAAGCTGTCTGCTAAATGTGGTGATGTGATACCAAAGTTATTTAACTTTAAGAACTAAATTGTAATTATTATACTGTAAAAATATGTATGTTATATAAGACAAGTGCATTATATAATAAATATATCTTTTTGTCGAAATTTATGTAGCTTCTTTATTAAAATATCAATATTACGTTTCTCACATAATTAAAAAACGCCAGAAATTAAAGCCGTTCAACTTATATAAGAATTACTTATTTATAATATATTAGTAAGGGACTTACTCCTCTACCTCCTTATCTTCATTCATGTACACGCTTTGATTACGTCTCTTAAATTTTTTTATCGGTGGTTTCGCATTCAAAACATTCGTCTCCTCATAAACTTCGTTTGTTGTTTCCACTTCCAATGGAAGCACCTTTTCTGCTTCATCCCCAGAGCTATTATCGATCTGGATTTCATCGGTATTTTTTACAACTCCAAGTTCACTTTCCACACCTTCCACTTCAGCTATGGGTTTTGGTAAATTCAGTCCTATGCTATTCTTCCGTTTAAAAGGACTTATCTGCCGTGGCGATAACGCATCGCTTGTGCTACCTGACATATTCAAGCTGGAGTGTTCCGTTTGCATGGATGTAGCGGAATCATTGAACTCTGTGTCTGTGCTTTCATTCAATGTAGACGAATAGTTCAATTCGTGTCCGCCAATTATTAATGCTAAGCTGACAGGATCGTCAATACCTAAAGCATCGCAGAACTGCTGAGACTGCGGGTTAATTTGCGCTTTCGGTTGCGGTACGTGTCCGTTATTATCTTCACTACGGTTGTATGGTTCAACAGTGCGTGCAAAGTTTTTCGGCACCAACAGGTCAGCGGCAAATTTATTGCGTACATGTTCCATTTCATCAATGGTGGGTGTAAAATTATAACGTTCAGTGCTGGCTGCATTTTGTGGACCCGGTAGATAGTATTTGGAGGCTTTGACATTTGTTAAATGATTTGTCAAATAAAGTATTGTTAACCATTCAAGATCATATTCCATACGAATTTCGCCTTCGGAAAATTGTGGCGATTCAATGTCGAGTAATTGTAGAAAACGTCGTTTGGGCAAACATTTATCTAAAGCTAAAAATTTAGTTATATTTTCTTCCTTATTCTTGGCAACTTCCTTTTGCTTCAAATTCCGTTCTTCGCAATTTGTAGTACCAGTTTCTCCACTGCTATCATCCACTTCATCATGTGGCACCACTGCGGCGAATTTACAATGTAAATGTGCAGCGAACCAGTATTTGGGTTTTAACATTTTTAGTAGATCCTCACATGGTCTACTTCCCAGTTGACCTCTATCCATTTCATCGCGAAAATGTGGTTTGAAACGTGCCAATTGAGACTTATTTCCATAGTTGTATATGCCACGCGGCCAATCGTGTGACATAAAAATATCTGTTTCACCAGATAATTGTTTTAAACGAAATACCTCTAGCTGTCGCACATGGTAAACACTTGTGCGTGTGGCGTCTGTGTAAGGCGTATATTCAAAGCGTCCACGTAAATAGTCGTGACCTTTATAGATACCTGACAAACCTGCTATGCGTACGCCATTAACGTTCACAACTCCGGCATAGCCTAGGTAGTATATATTAGGCGCCACCCAACCGCCGTACGGAAGTTCTTGTAGGTAATTGGAGGCCTCATGATTACCGCCTATAAATATTGTAAGTATAGGCGCTACTAGCTCGCCGCTGTAGTATCTAAAAATAAGAATTATAGAATGTTATGTTGCAAATTTTGCGCGGTTATGACTAACTTGTAAAAGGTACACATATCCAAGTACTTTTGCGGCACAGCCATCGTCTGCAGATCATCGAGATTGCGTGTAGCCTGAAAATCACCACAGCAAAGCAACAAGTCTACTTTAAAGCCCTCTTCATTTTCAATGCTTTGAATGGTTTCATAGATCTTTTCCAGCTCGCCATGAGCACAGCCTTCCACTGCAACTTTCATTTTTTCAACGTATTAAGTAGACTTTTACTCATTAATTAATGTTATCTTTACGTGCTATTTTTTACAAAATATATAAACAATAGTTGTTTACACTTCACCGGCCCTTTCTTTTCAGCACATTCGAAAAGATTCAATTATTCTTGCCAGATTGCACACTTCGTTTTTCTATTAAGTTCACAATAAACATTAATTCAAAGCAGGTATTTTTATTCACAGCAGTTGTAAGAAGCGAAATATCTGTACGCAGCTTATGTTGAACATGCTTATCGAAATATCTGAACGCGGCTATATTGAGCATGCTACATATCATATGTTTGAGGGAAGCCGGTTGCATCGATGTGAACACAATTATAATTTAATATTGCTAAAATATAATTAAAATTAAATTTGTTGAAAACATGAACTTTGCACGTCTTGTGTTTGCTAGAAGTGCTGGTGGCACAGCTTTGACACAGAGAGCAACAAGCGTCCTATATCGTCAAATTAGCATTGGTAACACACACTGTGCCGTACAGAAACCTCTGACGCAATTTGATCCAAAGCTGAAACGATTCGATCTAAAGTTTCCAACACCATTGGCGCATTGCCGTAAAGTCGCACAACAGGCCAGCGTTGGTGCTTCGGTTGCACAGGTTTTAAAGAAACGCACCGTACGCAAAAAATGGGACGACCATGGTTTTGAGAATCTGTCTGCGGAAGGATTTTTCAATGTATCAGCTTTTACGACTGCCGAAGAATATGATATGGAAGCATTAATGAAAGGCTTAAACGAACAAAATTTGTACACTGTTAAAAAATACTTTTCTACAGATAATCTCGGTGTAGAACAAAATGTGCTTTATGCTACAGCGAAGTATCCTGTGGGCAAAGAAACACGTGATATTATATTCTTCCGTGAAGGTTCAGTAGCGTTGTGGAATTTCAACGAAATCGAAACAAATAATTTGCTGTCATTTTTGCGTCCATACGAGAAGGATCCATACTTAAGTCCGTTAGTGCGTGGCGAAAGCGAGGTGATGCCCTACATGTACATTCCATCATCTGCCGTTGATGTTGAAGGTGATTTGGTGTCCACATCAGATACAGAAGTGGCACGTGCTTTCTTCCATAATGGAAAGTTTTTTCTTGCCTCTGATGGTGATAATTTTTTGCAAAAATACACATTCTCCGATGCAATGGCAACTTCAATAAAGCTGGGCATGTGGGAGGCTATGCTCGACCGATATGTGGACTCCATTGAATATCTCACAGACGATCTAAAACGGGGGCGACGCATACGAATGTCAAGAGCTGAGGTATTACGAAAAACTGGCGAATTATTCGCTTTGAGACACGAGATAAACTTGGCATCCGATTTGCTAGACACGCCAGATTTTTATTGGGATCGCGAAGAGTTGGAAGCCTTATACTTGCAAGTTTGCTCTTATTTCAGTATTTCACGACGTACAAAGGTGATGAATGAGAAGATAAATCATTGTGTAGAATTGGCAGAATTGATATCGCACAATTTGGATGAGGCGCATCACACTCGCCTGGAATGGATGATTATTATATTGATTATGGTAGAAGTAGGTTTTGAAATTGTGCATTACATGGACCGTTTTTATAACAAAGATGAAGAGCGTACAACTTTGGCACATTGATAAAAGCAAATACCAGAAAACGCATTTAAAATCAAAACCAAAACAACTGTTGATTACGCTTTGCTAGGCAAATAAAGTTTAGTGTTCTGTTTTACAAAATTGTTTTGTCCAACACCTGTACCGTGTGATATTTTTTAGAGTTTCTAACTAATTATCTGCAAATATTGTTAGTAAGTTTGTATAAAATAAAAACACAATTTTCGATACTTGGCTCTCGTTTCTTCATTCACAATACAATTAGTTACGCAATTGAACACACTTCTCTTAAGTCAACAGCGTGCAGTATGTTTAATGATACATGAGAATCAGCTGTTTTAATTTTCGGCTCGTGCAAGTGCGACAGCTTAAAAATAAAATATAATAATATAGCGTTCTGAAATACTTATAAAAATGCAATTAACATTAATTAACTTCTTCAAGAAAACCGTGCCAGGACATATTTTTCGAGGCAAGCGCCGACTCATAAAACCGGTGAGTAAACGCGCAATTGAAACACTTCGTCGTGATTACGAAAGGCAGGAGCAAAATATGTTATGGTTGCGACACCCATATTTAACAGTGGTAAGTATAATTTATTATTATTTTTTTTTGAAAATAACTTTTTTTTTGCGTAGGAGGAGTCAACGGGTCATGCCAAAGAGTTGGGAAAGACCGAAGCTAAGTTGGCGATGTGGAACGACCGACGCACACTAACCAAAATGAAACCGCACATAACCATTGAGGAGCGACTTGCACATTTAAAAGTAAAAGAGGCCTGGGAATAAAATTATGCATTATTTACTATTAATTACTATATTAAATAAAATATTATATTCAAAAAATTTATCTGATAAATGAGCCAACTTTTAATATCGTTTGACGTTTGCAAGTAAATTAACTAGGCACACCGTGAATTTGTTTTTTTCTTTGTTTATTAATAAATTGTTTAATACATAATATATTTTATATACGATTTACTTATGCTCTACAAGATACAAATATCTCTTTATTCTTTTGCTTCTCATCAAAGATATACTTCGTTTTTAACCATAAACTACATCGCGCAACGCGTAACATTTTTCATTTTGCTTTAGAATAGAACTTTTACAGTTGTAATATTAACGTAATTTGGGGAAAATAATGATGATTTTAAAAATGTTAATAATATTGGAAAATATAGGGTGTATATAAGTATATGGGCTTGTTTTTATGTAAGCAGTATATTATAATTTGGGACACGAGGCCAATAACAAAAAACATATATTTTTTTCTCATGTGAAGTTGTGTGCTTTTATGCGTGCATCGCCAAAATGGTAACGAAATCGTAGGCCCAGGAATTAGCATGTTATAAATATTGTTAGAAATGTTAGGATTACAGCCAACCAATAACGAGTAGCACTGCTGTTTAGCGATTCGCTTTTAAAGTGATGGCTTTAAGCACTTGCAACACTAATTGTTTGTCTGTTCCTTAAGTGCAGCTATTTCTCAATCCGCAATTAACGGTGCGGCAGTTTCGCGCTTCTTGGTTTCCACGCCACTGGATTCCGATTTCGTAGTCGTAACATCGATATCTATATCGGTGGGCGCCAGCGATACATTAGTCATGCCGTCTTCATCCTGTGCCGCATCCACTGTCGGCGTTTGTATCGGTTGGGTTTCGGCTGCTAGAAAATCATCCGCTTCCGGCTGTGCAGCAAGCGCTGACGTTGTTGTTGTTTCTGCTGTTGCAGAGACTGGCGGCAATGGTGGCGGTGTAGTGGAGAGCATGACCGGTGAAGTGTTAGTAGCGGCAGCACCATCACCAATGCCGCGCTCTACTGGCGGTGGCGTTGTTGGTGATGTGGGCAATGAGTCAACTTGTTGGCTGAATTCTTGATTGGGACTCTCGCGTGTGAACAAACCCATTTTACTCTCGGGCACTGCACCGGTAGCGCTTGAATCACTGTCTATGCCAGCGCCAACAGTACTACTTCCAACACTTGTCATTGTGGGTGCAGCAGGACCGCTAGTTAAATTTGCAGAAGCATGCTGCGGATGATGTGCATGCACCATGCTAGTATGCTGTTGCTGTCCTTGGTTGTGATAGCGTGGTATGTCCGCTTTGCGCCAAAGTGTTATCTCTTGTTGTTTGAAGTATCGACGATCCTCCGTGTCCATCAACACCAAATTTAGGAAGTACTTTACCGAGAATTTCTTGTTAATATCACGCATAGTGGGCGTTAAATTGTAACCGGCAAGAAATACACGTATTGGTATGCTCTCACCTTTCACCGGTGCGCCATCCATGATTTCGTACTTGGCGATTGTCTCATTCTCAGTGAACATATTCGGACCCGTGCCAGTTGATTCGCGTTTAATAATTGCAATTTCCATGTGTTTAATTTTTATGCGCACTAATAAGAAATATATCTTACCAATTATTGTATCTTTCAGATGGTATTTACTCTTATTGTATTCGAACTCAATGTGTAGGCAATCTTCGATGCCTACTTCCATTTTAATAGGACTGTTCAATTCGGGATAACTGCAAAGCGTATGTACAGCAATGTCCACTTCACGTGTAATATCACTGATACGACGCACAATAGTTGCACGCAAGAAATAACGTAAACGCACATTTGAACCGGCATAAACCTCAAATTGTTTTTCAACATTTTGAAAATCAAAAGGATAACTGTGGTTTTGTATAAGATCACCGGGACGTGCTAACGCTTTGGTGATACATTTGAATTCGGTGTGATTCCCACGATCGTAAAACAACTCAATCTGACCAATAAATTCAATTTTAATTCCTTGATGTTCCAATTTGCTGCCAGGTTTCTTCAGTGTCACATTCACCTGCGTTCAAGAGAGACTAAGTATTAGTGATATCATATTTGCATATATCTAATGTAAAAATATTTCAAAAAGCTTTTCCCCGCGCTATTATTGTAAAAATGAAAAAACACGACGATTTACACGCACAAAATTTACATACAATTATTTTAGATATGCACTATATCATATTTATGCTACCCGATATCATCACACGATAAAATTATGCCAATTAAATCAATTGTGTGTCATTCCAATTGGATTCTAAATAGAAGTCATAACAAACAAGTGGCCCAGCAAAGCCCTGAAATGGACAGCCATAGCCAACTCAGCTGATGGCTGCTGTCAGCATTGCATCGTCACAAGCGCCCCGCAAACCACTTATTGCGTATACGCCCCCTTCTGTCTAACAACATAACTTCACAAAATTTTTTTGTAAATATTTTTCTTAAAGTTTAGTACACATGCCTTGCCCGACACCGTTTCGCCATCGTAGTACAGCAACATTTTTTCAATTTTTCCATCTTCTAACTTGACCTCGGCAGTTTTCCTGTTTTCCGCACCGTCAAAAACGATATCGATCTCGGCCGACTGACCAAATCCGAGAAAGTTCATCGCTGCTGTCTGCTGCTTATAGCGTTGCACTCACTGCCAAAATATGTGCGACGTTCGTTGTTTAATTGTGCTTTGGAATGTTTTGCAAACTTTAGAAAGAAAATCACACGCGTATAATAGGAAAACAAAAAATTATTGGGCGTTTGATCATTAGCAGAAAAGAAATTCAACTTCGTTGCGTTTGATTAGTTGTGAATTTAGATAATTTTTGACAGCAAGTGCTGTCAGTGTTTGGGGTTTTTTATGTGGGATAAATTTCGGGCTGCTATTTTAATAAAAATGTATTATTACGAAATTTTTTATTAAATATTATAAAATTTTAGTTGAATATGTTATGTCATATAGGTATTTACAGCGCTATTTTTATAATTAATTTTTGTAAAGCCAATATGTGTACGGCTGTGCCTTATTATTAACGACACGTAATACAGGGTGAACCAAAATAATGAAAAATTAAAAATTATATACTTTGCTATGTATTCCAATATCGTCTAATTTCAAACGCTTTACTTGAAGATACATACTTATAACTCTTTTGAGCAGCAGTTGATATGTTATCTAGTATTTCAGCCATGTTTTTCTCTATATTGTTTGAAATCCTCATGGTACCTTCACATTTTCATACCCACATCTCCTGAACCGTTTATTCGCAGAACTTCATATGTCTTCATCGAGTGGGTATCTGTGGTTGTTGTGGCTGTAGCAGCATTAAACATTCCCCAAATTGTTTCAGAGGCCTCTTTTCTGTCACACCTAACGGGTTACCATCGAATAATTGAGAGTTTAACCGAAACTCGGTTATATTGTTTCACAGCGTAGTCTTTTTGTATGTAGCTAACGGATCTCCACGTAAATACAAGGATATTTTCACTATTATTTTTTATTTCAAGTATATCATTTCCAATCTCTTGAGTATTAAATATTTACATGCAAATATATATAATAAGTATATAAATATGTACATATATGTATAAAGCTGGGAGTGTTTTTCGTGTGTACATTTAATTATTGTTTATTTTATTTCTTTTTTTTTAATACTTCATTTTTATAATAACGTGTATTATTATACTCGTATGTTTCTATATTTCTAATAAAACCCACGCAGAAAACGTTCTTCAACATTCACAGCGTATTCGCGCCTTCTTCTCATCCAACATATGCGTCCATTTCAAGTGATCCTCGCCATTCTCGATATGTGAGCGATGCAAACGCTTGCCCTGACTCAGCAGCTCGGCGAATTGCGCCGCTACCGGATCGTGACCAACTGTCAGAACTGCCACCACATTGCCATGATCATCAAGAAAGTATGCAACGAACTTGAAGTTCTCCAAATCACCCTTGATCAGCACGTCGGCATATAGACCATATCCAGCATAACGTATACCCTTGCCGAAAACAAGTGAAAAGAAGAATGGCACTGCGCGCAGATCCTCAATGGTGCCGGTCATATTGAGTGCCGCCACACGTCCATGATATTGTGACAATTGTATGTGACCAACGCTACCGCGTTGATTCGCATTTGCCAAAATTGGTGCATTGGCAATGTCACCGCCGGCATAGACATCAATCACGTTTGTCATCAGATGCATATCGGTGTTGATGGATCCATCGCGATTAACGTGTATACCGGAGTTTTCCAAGAAACCAGTATTATAAGTCGAACCAGTACCCAAAACGACGACATCGCAATCAAATTTATTGCCATTATTTAGTTCTACTTTATTGACAAAACCTTCGGCATTGCCATACAACTCGGACAGTTGACTTTGAGATTTCATAATGATACCTTTCTCACGATACAGATCGTAGAAAAGTTTTCCGATGGCATCACCAAATATGACAAATGGATAATCACCAGTAAATATCACAGTGACCTGTAGAAAAGAGAGCGGTTATTAAATGCATATGTGTAGTCCTTGCTAATAACAGTATGATAAAATTCCCCTACAAATAGGTAGAAAAAACTGCTGACTGCGCTAGTAGTTGACCAACGGTATATGCTTCTAATTACTCACCGATTTCACTTTGTTGACCAGCGCTGCAGCCACTTCCATTGCAATAAAGCTTCCACCCACGCAGACCAGATTTGTCTCCGGAGTTATTGCTGCCAATATTGCACCTGCGTCTTCATAGTTACGCAAGGTGAAGACCTTCTTCAAATCGACTCCCGGTACATGCGGTTTTCTGGGACTCAAACCGGTAGCGATAAAGAGTTGATCATATTTGATCTCGTCGTCATTGGAGCATCGCACCGTTTTCGCCACAGTATCGACCTTTGTCGCCTCTACACCAATTAGCGTCTCAATGCCGTATTGTACATAGAAGTCCGCAGTGCGAAATTCCAACTTATCCAAGGGTATATCCATACCTTTGGAGAGCTTAATGCGATCATAAGGCAAACACGGTTCGCGACACAACATAACGATGCGGCCGCTAAAGCCCTCCTGGCGCAAGGTCTCCACGCACACGGCAGCGGCTGGACCACCGCCGATAACGACGACACATTGCTGGTTAGACTTATCACGCTTCACCATATCCTTGAGACGCTTGTTCTTCTCCAAATCGGTGCGCTTAGCACGCAGTTTGACTTTGCCATCATTTTCCACACGCACCATAAAACAAGGCAACGAGTCCAAGCCCGGAAAGTCTTCAATATCGCCGGTGCGCGTATTAAAAGTGGCGCCATGCCAAGGGCAACGTACGCGTCCCTGACCCAAAGCGCCGGTATGCAGTGGTGCGCCATAATGCGTACACTTATTACCAATCGCTGTTATCTGACCGTCCTGCTTTATCACCAACACTTTGGTGTCTGTATCGAAGTTGAACTGTTTCATTTCATTCTCCTGCAGATCTTCGATGTTGCAGACCTCTACGGCGCTCGTGTATTCCGACATGTCGCATTCGGTTGTGGACTGATAAGTGCCTGAAGTGAAGAAAATTCAAATAAGTAAAAGAAATCAGTAAAAGTACAAAGATAAGGTCGTAAAATACTAGAAATTGGAAAGAAGCAAAAAGATCTTAGAGCTCGCTAAGATTTGTCCCTCGGGCTTGCCGCTACAAGAAACCCCAAATTAATGTCGCTACTTGCTACGAACAATCTGTTTATGGTGGGTTCATTGCGATGAGGACTTATAGCCTAATGAGCTAAGTAGAAGCATAGACAATACCGTTCCCACGACAGACACGACTCTACGTAATCGGAACGGACCCTGATTTATATCCGGAAAGAAATGTCAACTCGGCAGCATTCTGCCAAGAAATTGACAGTACAACGCGGAGCTTTGAATCTTCTGGCCGCATGTTCGAGGTTAAAAGTGAGTAAGTTCGCGCTGACGTAAGACGAAGCGAACGCTAATGTTTGGGGTGCGAAAATGAGGGATGGAGGTTTAATTACAAAGTGCGTTCAATGCTGTTTAAGTTTTGTTACCATTAATGACACACTTAGAGCGAGAAAGAACGATTATTATGTAATTAATGCTGTCAAGCAAATGTCATGGAAGGATCTAAGCAATATAGAAAACCTAATTCATTTGGGTCATTCGTTGGTGAAGCTTGCAGAGGCATATAAATAGAGTTCTGGCAAAGTAGTGAGAGTAGTGTAAAAGAGTAAGTAAGGTGGGGGAAACTTGCTACTGTCCGACTTTATCAAAAACTCGTTTTGAAGATCTAGGAGCCACGTAGTTAAAAGTACTAGATAAAGTAGCAAAATTAGATATTAAATTTTACTTAAACTTAACGTTGATGTCCTGTGTGAAGAATGCTTCAGCTCGAGCTAGACTCAACTTCCATCATGCAATACAAAAGATCAGTAGTTCTATGTATGGCGTGACAGCCAGCCAGCCAGTATAACCTAACTAAACCTATAAAATCGAATCGAATCGATCAACTACAGATCGTATCATACTAACTGTGTCGTCACCGTTAGTTATGCGCGTCAATATATTGTAAGTAAAGCCTCAAAATAGGTCAAAAGCGAGAACCAAAGCATCCTTACGAATACATATCCCACGTAACTGACGGCTAAAGAAAAGAGCTAATAGATATACAACAGATTTCTTATAAAAATCACAAGCTGACTAAGCAATTTCCGCTGCTAACACGTGTCGAATTCAAGCATATAGATGAATATAGGTTCCAAAGCAATAAAAGAGCAATGTTATGCAAATCGCTGGACTCGCATGTGTACGGATAAACACCAAAAAACTTCAACAATAATCAATATGAAAGTATTGACAGCGGCGTATTTGATTATGAGCGCATTGTAACGAAATTATTTGTTACAAATTTTAATGGAAAAAAGTGAAAGGTACGCTCATTATCTGCTAATGCTTATAAATCGCACAAATCACACACAAATACATAACACACATATAAATCGAAATATAATTTGCTATATGAACATACCAGACATATTTTGTAATATTGCTCTAATATGACACTTTTCAGGTACTATTTAAATTACTTAAATACTCCGCTTATCTTATAAAACGTGCACTAAAAATATTTAAAAAATATATATTAATATGTATGTACATATATTATTCTAGTGCACAATCTCGCTATCAGCTTTTGTTAGCAAATAACGTACAAAGTTTGGTGTAAACTGGTTTAAAGTTATGATTATTTTTACAACGATTACCTCGCTACATATACTTAGAATTGAGTCAATGAGAACTCAACGAACATTCAGCGTGTTGTCGGCGTGACTATCATGGTTGTTTATCCATGTTGTATATGACAAATCAACTGTTTTTGATGGTTCGGAATACCAAAACGTTATGTTTGGTATATGGTATGTATAATGAATTTTTCCATGGCATATAGAGCGTGCGTCCTACGTTGAAATATGCAAATAATTTAATATAAAATAAAGAAAACTAAAACATGAGGAACCGGAATTCGTTGGTCTTCTCCTATGATGGTTTAAAGATTGCTCATATGGTTGAGTACAAGTGAGCTGTCATAAGCATGTCAGTATGATAACTGTAACCACAGCAAAAGTTGTGAAAAAAGAGTCAAACGTCAGATAAGAACTAATAATTTTAAATACTCGCTTGAATGACGCATGTTTGAAGTAATAATCACAATGTGAAAGCACAGCAATGAAATATTTTTAATATGACATGTTAATGTGGGATTTTTGTGTTATTTTAATTTTAATTTAATTATTTTTACACTTGAACTTCAGAACAATTGAAATTTAGCAGCATATATCATACGCCTCTAGCGCTCAAAGCTGTAATATACACTAAATAGTTTGTAACATATTATTCAGATCGGTCTACTATAGCATTTAGCTGCAATACAAATTGATCGATCTAAATCAAGAAAGTGATAGAAAAACCTGTGAAGAATATTGCAGCTTCGGTGCAGCTGAAGTTAACGTGTTCTCTTGTTTGTGTTTTCAGTACGGTATGTTCAGCAATTTTTTCCGACTTCTAATTTTGTTTTAAACAATACTGTTTAAGTTTTAATTAATAACATTTTTTTATTTACTATTTTAAATGTATGCACCTTTTAATTTAAATTTGTCGAATTTCTACACTTTAAAACACTACACAAATGCCGACGACCGGCTGTATAACTCATACGCCCCTACCGGCTAAACGTAACACTTGCCAACCGGCTAATTTCGATTTTCATTCTGCGGCCGCTATTCATGTTTGTGTAACCTTGAGCGACATTTGCTTTGCAAACAAAAAATTAAAAACGAATGCAAAAAAGCACAAGACCAAAAAGGCTAAAATTGAAAATTAATTACACGTATTTGTTAGCGATAGAGCAAGACCAACATTAAGTAATTCGACAATTGTTTTATCGTGATGTGTTATGCGTTTTTTTTTTTTTTCTTAGCTTTAAGTTGCACCAGCAAAGCTTGTGTCAATTTAATATTGGTTACGCTGTGCTGGTTTCACTGAATTTGTTAATTACAAGTGCGATTTTGTAATTTTGAATATAACTATATACCTCGCTTGACTCGTTTGCTTTTGTAATAACTTGGTTATTAATATATAACTGCAATAAAATTTAATTTTTTATATTTTTCAACGGCAACCAAATGCACATAAGCAATATTCACAACAGACTGACATTAGAATAATGCCGTTACCGGAATGACTGGAGAAAGAAAATTGACAGCGCCTATCAATTTAGTGGCGAGTTTGCGTAGTATTTTGTAATTTTCGGTTTGTTTTTGGTTTTCCTGTGCATTAGGTCTTAGGGCCAGTTTGGATTGCATGCTAAATATATTTATTTCGATAAATCTTACTGTACTTACAAGGACTATTTGAGATCATAAAATATGAAAGGCGCCTGCTGACCATTATTTACATATTTACACACTATTTTAGCTACACAATCTAAAATTTTCGTTTTAATAAATACATATTTATATATATATATATATATATATGCATGTGTATGTACATACATACATAAGTCCGAACCTAAAAACCAACAGGACCTTACCGCTTTATGTCTTTACTATTTTGGTGTGCTTTGCGTGCTTCGGCAGTTCTTTACGATATGGTCTTTTGTTATTGCACTTACAAACACGCACTATTTTTTTTATATTTAATTGACACGCAACAGCAAATTGTGAAAATTTTATTTTGCGGTGACAAATTATTTTTTATTTGTTTTAGGTAGATTTGAGAGGAATTGACGCAATAAAGAAAAATCAAGTTTTAAGTTTAGGGTTGTTCTACGACTTACGACGTATTCAAAATCCTCTCGTGCTAGGCGAAATTTTTTTGTGCTTTAAGTCAAAACGCAAGACTATTGATTACTGACTGTTCTCAATATCCTAATTAATATATCCTGTTCCCACGACAGTTGGGTCTATGTAATCGGAAACGACTCGGACTCAAATTAGTTCAGGAATGTTTTCTGCGCTATAACAACAACAATAATTTGATATCCCATATGTTAAAAATTAATACAGCGATCCCAACCGACCAACATGTTTTCGTTTTTAAACTCGTAACTTTCACTTAATACACCACATATGCATTAGAACTCTTTAAAATTGCATGTGATCAATCAACCATTTTAACCACACCCATGCAACAAATACTTCAATTTTGTTGTACTCACCATCCTGCGGCTTAGCAGCTGCATTGTCGACCCTTTTTGAAGTTGTGGTTGAATATTCTTTACAATTTGCCGAACCCATATTAACAGCTGTTAATATTCCACACGTAGATTTAAGATTTGTTTGCAACGTAAGTTGTTGTGCTTGTTTACGCGGTTTGTTTGTTGACTGGTAAAACCTGTTGAATGTTCAACATGTTGGGAATTATGCGAAGGCATAAATAGTAATAAAACAAATATTACACAAATCAAAACTGAAAATACGAAATGTATGCTGCTGACTGACTAACCTTCGCTTTGGCGTTGACCTTATGTGGTTGCGATAGTTAGGATTGTCTCTACTCCAATGCCACTGACAGAATGTCTGAATGCTTAGCTGGCTTCTAAAGGCTGGCAGAGGTTTAAGTTGTTTTTGTTGCTGCTTTAATAACTGTGTCGATAGAATGTTGGCGCAGCGGCGTGTTAATGAATTCCTGTACGAGCCAAAAAGCATTTATATTGAAATGCCATGCGTATGAGAGAAGCCAGCAGATGTTAAGGCGTTGCGTGTTGAGTTTAGAAGAAAAAAAAGGACAAGGAGAACAGAGGAATTTAGTGCAAAAATGCAAAGAAACTTAAATTGCTTAATTGTAAGTATAAAGCAGACAAATTATGCTCTAATCCCTATATTTAAACACGGAACAGGGTATATCAAGTTTATCACGAAGTTGGTAACAGCTAGAAGGAAACATCGGATACCCTTTAAAATGCGTACATATATAAATAATCAGCGTGACAAACTAAGCAGATTAAGCTATGACTGTCTGTCCATCTTTATATACCCGAACTAGTGCTTTCGTTTTTGAGATATCGATCTGAACTTTTGCACATATCTTTTTCTTCCCAATAAGTAGCTTATTTGTCGGAACCGCCGATATTGAATCACTATAGCATATAGCTGTCAGACAAACTGACTGATCAAAATTAAGATAAAGTTCTTTTTATACTCTTTTATGCTATAAGAAATGCACCTGTGAGCGGTATTATAGCTGCGCCCGCAGTTAACGTTTTTTTTTCTTTTTGTTATTTTTTTGTTTATATGCCTTGTATGTGCATATAATTCGCTTAAAGCGTTGCGCGTGAAATATACACACTCACTGCTTGATTAACTCAATTGCATTGTTAAGCCATTTAAATGCTGTGAGCATAAATTTTTTATATATTATTTATTTATAATTTTTACTTTTCGAGTATGATCAGGTAAAGTGCCTAAGTGTGTCTAATGTTTGTAAAAATTGTGAAGGGTAATTTAACGAACGTATTTATGTGAAACATCATAAAAATTATTTTACAGAATCCACATAAATTATTTACATTAAATATAATTTTAATAACATAATTTAGCACGATATGCGGTTAGGCACACATGTGTATGTATTTTATACATATTTCTTAGTAAATCCAACACATGAAACACGCGACGCAGTAGTTGCCGACAAGTTTTCCCCCAAAGGCTGTCATTCACTTATTGTTTTTGCCACTTTTTTTTATTACACATACTATATATTTTTGCACAATAAACCTCGATGATTGTTATTTGTTTTTATTACTTCATTACACATACAGCTGCTAGAAATTATTGCTACTTTTATTGCCTTTTTAATTAAAGTTCTCATTTTTACTGAACTGTTTAAAAATTAACGAGCTTGCGTATATGTTTATTTACATAGTTACTTACATCCAACACGCGTGAATGTACGTAGCAGAAATAAGCAACGAACTTGGCTAACTTGCACGACCGACTGGCTGATTTGTACTAATGTTGCTCCGACTTTAACATACAGACGATACTTGTGGAGCTACTTGTGATTGTTTATAAGTATATGTATAGTGTTGGGGAAAAATGATGGAGCACTTTATTTTTCACTTATTCTTCGACTTTTTCTAGTTTTTTTAGCGTTAAGTTAGATAACTTTAATAGCAACTAATATATACAAAAAGTGTAGATATTTTCATTTGCGAAAGCAAAAGTGAGAAACTTAGTATAAGTCAACGGAGAAGTGCAGAAAAACAGCTGCTATTAGTATTATTAAAAAAAAAATACAAACAATATAATATCTATTATATTGACCAACGCTGTGTTTACTTGAGAGCAAAACTGCCATTGAATGTTAAAATGAGAGCAAAAATATTTGATACATACATATGTACATATGTAGGTACATGCGAGCAGGCACCCTAGAGTTTAAGTTTTGTTTGCGGTTGCATTAAAAGAAGCATTAATATACTATATTATTTATATATTATATATAAATATAGTTTAAAAAGCCAAAAAACATGCTTTTAAAGCACTTCAAACTTAAAAGTGAAAAATAATTCCTTATATAAACTGACAGAAATATGGACCGAAATGCATTATTGTAAGAAAAGTGTGGTATGCTCGAGGTATGAAAAATAGGGCACAAACCATCCCACTCTTTTCTCACAACAATACAAGTATTTTTCAGTCAATATTTCTGTTCCTGAGATATAGAATTTCACCTAAAAATTGGTGTTGCCTTGCTCATTTTCCAATTTTTACACCCCCTCCTATAAAGCTTTTCCTTAACATTTTGTTTGTGAAATTTAATGCTTATGGCCCATTTATGGTACTTTTAGTAGTTTTCAACATAACCGTTAAATTGGCAGTGGGCGAGGTTATTATCAGATTTTACCCATTTTCACAGCGTAAGAAAAAGTGATAAAAAATGAATTTTCCCAGCAAACTTGATTGAGTTAGCTTTAGTGGTTTGGAAGGTACATGTATACATTAAACCATTTAGGGGGTGGTGCTACGCCCACTTTTAAAACAATTTAAGAAAGGGGGTGTGTAAAATTTCAGATAGATATCTCGAAAAGTGAGGGCATAGTTCGAGTACATACAGACTGACATGGCTAAATCAACTTAGCTCGTTGCGCTTACGTACATATGTTTAGATATAGATATACATTTTATATAGGGTCTCCGACGTTTTCTTCTAGTTGTTACAAACTTCGTGATAAACTTTTTATAGCCTGTTCAGGGTATAATAAAACAAATCGTATGCGGTTTCGTAAAAAAAGTACTTAATTAGGTATTTAGGCCACACGATTATGTACATATGTATGTATATATAGATTCACATAGATTTGTCGCCTTGATAAATCGAATTGATAATACATTTAGTTAAACGATTTAATTTTAAATAATATCATGACATGCATAACATTTTGTAAACATTGTTCTCTGGTACAGGTATACCTACATAAGTGTGTATGCTGAAAAACCTAATTAGAATAATAATTTATAGTAATTATAATAACACTTTTAAAAATTAAAATATATACATATTTGAGTAAGAATGAATTTTCAATTGTACTTACATTTTCAAAAATTTTGTAAAACAATGCCAGCCGCTGAATATAATTTCGAACAGTTTTTATTCTTCCTTTCTCACATTTCCTACCGCCAGTTTTGAATTTCTCAGCAAACAAGTTTCGCTTGCTACATATAAAACAAAATTGATAACGTGAAAGGTATTTCAAATCGGCAATCAGCCAATTGGTTAGTTAATAATATATGCTTAAATTTTGACGCCATACAAGTATATAACCGTCTAGCGATAAGCGAACAATTTAACACAAGTCTTGTTTGCCGCTAGTATACGCGTATTTAATTTTAGTTTTGTTATTGTGTTAGCATTTAATTTCGTGTATCTTTTTTGGGGGACATACATACTCGGTCACGTTTGCTGATAAAACTTGACTGGCAAATCTCTTACTATGTTGTGATTAAAGCACTGTTTGCTATAAATTGTAGCACTAATAAAAGATAAATCAAAATGTGATTACACAATAATTAACTTCGAAAAAGGTGTTAATATATTTAGAGATAGTGAATGCTTCGTATTTATTTATGATTGATTGCAAAAAAATGCAATTGCAAACAGCTGATTAATTGGGGGTAACAGAGTTGCAAATTTGAAATGCAACCGTAGAGATTTGACAGATTTCAGTGAGTAATTTGACCGGATATTCCAATGCTGAAAGGAAAGTTGATAAGGCAGCGTTTATTCATTTGAAATCAAATTTTTACTATATTATTTAGATTTGACAAATGTGTAAAAGCATAGTGTGACTATTTATTAGTTTCACTTTATTCACAATTTATTGCAAAACGCCAGGAAATTACAATAATATTTCACCAGCGACCGCGCGCACCACAGTCGGGCGTACGTAATCGGAACGTACACGGGGTTTTAAGCGCCCAAGTACTGTCAAATCGGCATTTTTCAAAATTAGCCGTTACAATAACAACAACATAAATAGTGTGTATTACATACAAAAATCCAAAAATATTTCCTGTTACAAACTGCCGCCGTACCACAGATTCTAAAAGTGATGCTCTATAACAACAATAATCACGTAAATTGCTTTTTGGATTGTTAATCTATAATGTTAATAAGCGTGAGTTGTTTTGACACCAGTCTCTTCATCAAACATCATTTTAACTGTAGAGTACATAAAATTTAATCCTCATCAAAGTAATCAAAGCAATTTATTTATATTTGTAATTTTTCTGCAACTACGCATGTATTTATATCTTTATTTATACACATGCAAGCGCTGCCGCGGATTAGAGTCTTTATTGCTAAGCCTTAATTATTGTTAATGATATTCTATATATCTACAGTTAAATACAAGTAGTTAGATAAAATATTTCAGTGCCTGGATTTCACAAATTTAGTATAATTGACAATTTTCCAGTTACCAATATAATGTAAACAACTTTAGTGATTTCTAATATGTATATTTAAGTGCATATAAACAACGGTAAATCATATGCTATTCATCGCTCATTACAAGTTGCGCATTTCTTTCATTGCTAAAGGCTCTAGCGAAAGTTTTTCCTTACTTAAAATACAAATAAATAAAAGTACATTTTACAAATTTTCAACAGCAACAAAAGGTACAGAGAGGGGAGAAATCTTTTTGGACTTGATGGTGATTAATTTAGCATTATTATTAGCAACAGTAGTGCTAGGTTTCGATGATGCGCTCATTTGCAAGTGTAATATTAGCTTTGGATTAGATGTTGCTTAAATTTATGTTACAATTATTATTTTGCAGTTGCTTGCTTAGGCCACTACCACATCTTGTATCCAATTGAGAGCGCCACGTATGCGTCGTAGCCGCGCACGCGCCAAAAAACTACATATCAATAAATATTCCACATAAGTGCGACGGCCGCTCTCATTAAAACTAAGCTGATCGACAGCAGCGCGACCCTCACACATTACTTTCGTGGTGAGTGAAAGCAGCCATTGGAGTATCTGTAGATATAACAACAACATAATTAATAAATAACAGGCAATTGGTGGTTTTATGCACTCACCTCCGGGCTGTTGGGCATGCCACCAGCTTTAAGCCACTTGGATGGCGCCCATAAAAACAATTGCATGATGTTTGCCGCGATATCTGGACTTACACGCTTAGCAGGACTCGGGTTTAATATGTTATAGATTAATTGCTGCACAATCGCTGGGCATTCATCGCTCAGCGTTGGCAGATCGTTCTCCTTATAATCACTATTGCGCAATGATAAAGTTTGCACGCCATTAGCCAAGGCCAAACCGCCACTCGATGAGTAGAAAGGATTACGTTGGCCGAAAATTTCATAGGCAATCGCGCCACAAGCCCACAAGTCCGCTTTTGCATAGTTCAGCACCGCAAACGGACCGGGTTGTTTGTTAATGATCTCAGGCGCCATCAGAGCGGCATTGCCGCCTTTGTCGATATCGTAAGAAGTGTAAGGTATCTGCAAACCATGCACTTTATCAGCCAAACAGCAACCGAAATCGGAGAGCACCAACACCGGCGGCGAATCATCATCATTCATTTCAATAAGTATATTGTCGGACTTGATATCGCGATGCGCAATGCCATGACGATTAATATGCGCAGTAGCTTCAAGCAACTGCGCCAGCAGCAATAGTTTGGTACGTGCGCTCAGCTTATGTGAATCGAGCAGCGCGCGCAAGCTATAGTCGTAACGCTTCATCAACAGATATAGCGACATATTGCGACCATAACCATGTGGGTTGATGCGCTGCGGCTGCGCAACTGGATAAAGTATATGACCATCGGGGAAGTTGCGCACCTCATCGCAGAAGAAGCCAAACATGCAAACTATATTTGGGTGCGGCGGCAAGGTGAGCGTTTGATTTTGTAATAAGCGCTCCCATTCCTCCGAACAGTCATTCATTCGACGCGCACGTGCCGGCACGGTCTCCTTGTACATGGCGCGCAGAATAGAGAGTGCATTGCTTTGTATGTCATAGTTGAACATCATTTTCAAAGCGAGCGGATAGCGATTTATATCAGCTGATGGCGCATCGATGGATTCCTGCAAACATATAAGTTCAATAAGATTTTCAATATAGCATAAAACATATACAAATTTATACGTACAAGCCCTTGCATGCCACTGCTAATACCGGAGAAACCAGCATTTCTATCACTAAGTAAATCGTTGTCTAATTTCTGCATATTTTCTTCTTCCATGTCACTGGTGCGACGTGCTCTACGCTCGGCGACAAAAGCAGCAGCTGCAGAGTTCTGATTATACAGTTCATTAAGATTATCCATAGAACTGCCGAAATTGTGTACAAAACGCGACATATTCTGTATTGGTGACATTAATTCTGGATAAAAGGATTGCTGTTGTAGTGGTGTCGCCGCGCTACCGCGAGCCATAGCAGCTGCCGCTTCGGCGTCATGCGTTGCATCTAAAGCAGGCGTTTCTATAGATGTAGAATTGTTACTTGCATTCTTAAATCCTGCCGAATACACTACTGCAGCACAGCCTTTTGCAATTGCCGGTCCCACGTCTAACTTATCGATGTTAAAGTCACTATTAAGACTTTCAGATATTTCATCGTAATTCCAAGAAGCTTGCAATCGACCAGCGGCTTCGCGTATCTCCCAACACACACCCTCCAATTCGTCCTCTTTAGTCAGCACGCCGGCTCCAGAGGCTAAACTTACACCGACTAGTGCAAAGAAAGGTGCAGAATCGCCATAAAATAACTTTTTAGTTGCTTGCGTGCGTAATTCTTGTGAGTAATTGGTTGTGACGCGATTTAAGATATTGTCGATGAAAACTTTGCGCGCATGTTGGCCAACACTTAAAAGGCCGGTACGTGGCAGCGACTTTGCTGCGCCGCTTGTAGCTGCATTTGTAATACCATGGAGCGCTCCTCTAGCCGGCAAGGGTTGAGCGGAAGCGGTAACACTAACAGCGCCCGACTATATGTGTTAAATATTGGAGATATGTAAAATCAAGTGAGTTTTTAATAGACAATCAATTTTAATGTAGCATACCCTCAAAGAGTTGGGTAAGCTCCGGCGCGTCTTCTCACGGCTTTGTTCCAAAATGTTGAAGTGTATATCACGTTTCCAGTAGCTTTGTAAAAAGTAGCGACCATGTTTAACCAGTCGTAAGGTTAGTAGGCGCACAGACATCCTCGTCGCTTTGTAGTAATACGCCTATGCACTGTTAATTGTAATTGCAATGATACACCCACAAACACAGTAGCTGGTTTCGTACTTTTTCTCACTTACTCGCTGCAATAGCAGGCGGCGCCGTATATTTTTTCTCTTGTGTTTGTGTTTGTTGCTGTAATAGTAACTGCTGTGCAAAATATTTACGTCGCAGAAACGAGTAGCCAAGAAATAACAAGTGTGTTTTCGTAAAATATATATTATAGAGCATTTTAAATACTTACGTTTTACTTATATCTGCCAAAACTTGCTATATTTTTATAACGTTCACAGCAGCGTATTGCACACATTGAATATGATTGGCGTAGCAAGTGCTACTTCCTCACTTTTTTGCAATTATCTAACAATAGCAATATTTTCACGCTTGGCTACTTGCTTTATGATAAAATGGCAACAAAATATTACAACAAAACTTATAAATGCCTGTACAAGTTTTATTTGGATTATTCTTTAACTTTCTTACCATAAGTTGTAGAAAACTGGGCGATTTCTACTGGTAGCGCTTTGTTTATTTTGATTCTTCGCTTTTAATTTTGCTCTTGCAAATTGTATTCGAACAATCGTTCACTTTTCGATAATCGCTAAAAATAGCAGAAAAATACTGAAACAAACACGCAAAAAAACCAGTTGGTATGTAGTAAAATTCCAATCACAATAGGCAATCAGCTGTTTTTATTTTGTTTATCATTTATTCACCATAAAATTTGCTCAAACAGGAATTGCAATAATTTTGTAGTCGGTGTTTCACTTCCGGCAACGTAAAGGGGAAATCAAATAATATTATTCGCACCAAACTAACAAATATATAAATTAGTATGTATACATATATCAATAAATTGCATTACCTTATTCTCTACTAAATACTGTATAGTACTCGTTACTTTAGCGGCTGCATCTAATCGCTCGCTACACAAATTACGGTTCTTCTTCATTATTCCTCTATACATTGTTGTTGTGTTTGTTTATACTAAGTGCCCGTTTTCTTTAACAGTTTTTATTTGGTTTTCTATACTGAACGTGCTTGTAATGTTTTAAATTTTGAAATCGTTTTATTAATAATTGTGTTGAAAATATGAATTCTTTTAGTCGCGCATATCGTGGTATGTACATATGTAAAAATTTATTTAAATTTATTAGAAATGGTGCTTTTAACTTAACCAATAGATCCCAAATCACCACTCACTCCACTTACACCGCTCTCTGAAAATACTGCGTTCAATTTTAATTTAAGTGATGACTCGCTGCAATCATTTATAAATATCATAGAAGCTCAACGTACTAAAGAAACACCTAGATCTTCACCAGCTGGACTGGCATGTGGGGCAAAATACGTGAATGCGAACAAATATATCAAACGTCAGGCAGCCAATTTAAATGCACAGAATGTTTCATCTGACACCACTAATAAAACAAGAAAACTATCACCGAGATTAGTTACTACAAAGAAATCTAATGTTGACAACAAAAAAACTTTGAAGGAACCGAATAATGATCTAAATAACAATAAAATTAGTTCGAAGTATTCATCAACAAGCATTTCTTCCAGCTCCTCACGTGGTTCTTTTAAATGCAATGAATCATATTTTAAAGAAACTGATACAACTCAATCCTCAAAATTCAATATAAGTCCTCGTGCTACCTCTACTTTTAACTATTATAGTGCATCCAGCAGCCAAAGTTCTGTACGAAGCAATAGCGGTTCAGCTAACTCCTTTAAAAACAATTCAAGCACAACTCCAAACTCTTTTAACTGTAATAGAAGTGCACGTGATCGCAAGCCACCCAAACTTGTTCTTAACGATACAAATGTTGCTGAGACTGACTCCACGATGTCAACTGTCTTCAACTGGGTGTGGAATTGCCTGTCACCTATGAAGAATCCATCTATTTATGAGTTGCTGGCACGCGCTGACATGCAAAAGTATTGGGACATTTTTGAGAGAGAAGAAATATTAGATTTAGATGTATTTTCAACTTTGACTATGGCGGATTTGGAAGCTATCGGCATTAAAGATACTAACGACTGTGTCAAAATACTAAAATCTGTTGGATGGGCACTCGATTTTCTGTCGGGGTTATTAAATTTTAAAAGGCCTGAAAAGTAACTTTGATTTTATAAAAAATTTTGTTAATAATTTTATGTTTTAATGTTTGTATTTGTGTAAAGATGTTTAATTTTGAGAAATGTACTGACTATAAGGAATAAACTTGACTACGTAAAAAAACTGTATTTATTTAATTTTAAAACAATCATTTTAAAATACTTTATCAGTTTTAAAATAAATTTAAAAAGATATACAAAACATTTACACGTAATATAGCAAATAAATTATATATATGTGTGTATGTATAAATATGCACAGAGATGTGTTTTGTTTTGCTTGCCTAAAATTCCGTTAACGTTGCGGATTTATTATTGTGACCATGCTATGAAGAAGAACAAGCGTTATGTGTCCGATAATATAGAATTCTAATTTGTTGTACAAATTTGTTTTGGCATTTTAAAATCCAGGAAGCGAATTAAATTTTGTGTTTATACATTTATAAATTAAGTTAAATTAAATTCGACGTTGAACGTCGTGATATGCTTGGCGCTGTTCCGAACATTCAGCTATAATGGAATCGGTACTTTTCGCTAACATAAAAAAGCTGTATGCTAATGAGTTGTATTCTTGTGTGATACCGGCCGCCAGTTTGTTAAATACACTTTTGCAAAATGAGCGCAATGTTGCTACACCCGAAATGGAATATCAAGTACTACTCTTCAGTGGCAATGCGCACTACTATGAACGGAATTATCGTTTGGCCAGCAAACAGTATGAAGCCGCATTACTAATGCGCAAAACTATGTTGCGTTTTAAGAATACCCAGATAGTTAGTATTGAAATAACACATGAACAGTTTAGTGAGCTTGAGACACGTTACCGTCTCGCTAAATGCTATCGTGAGCTTGGTGAGGACCACAAGGCCATAAGCACACTACACGCCTTGCCCTTGAAAACCCGCACGCCCAAAGTGAATATGCTATTGGCGCAACTTTGCCACTATGGGCAAAATGTTGATAATGCGGAAGCTATAGCAGCTTATAAAGAAGTATTGGGTGATTGTCCCATGGCATTGGTGGCTATAGAAGCGCTATTGATGTTGGGCGTGGATGGCATAGAGGTTAACTCATTGGTGGTTAATGGTATAAATAAAAAAGTTCACATATATATTAGACTTTTTAAAAAGTCACTTTTAATTTACTATTATTAAATTTTCAGCTAGTACAGTGCCAAAGCACATTGATTGGTTGAGTAGCTGGATAAAGGCACACGCTCAGCTTTATGGACGCGATCATTTAGAGGCATCAAAAACATTTCAAGCCATTAATGACAACACGAAATTTCACCAAAACTCCTATTTACTCACTTTGATTGGCAAGAGTCTTTATTATTATGGCCGTTATATGCAGGCACAACAATATTTAGAGACGGCACTTATGGTAAATCCACACAATACGGATGCGCTTATGCCGTTAGCTGTCGTTTATGAATATAATCAGAAATTGCCTGAGCTAGATAAACTTGCCGCACAAATGGGTAATATAAAAGAGCTAAATTCTGAGCATTGGTTTGTTGTCGCCGAAAGTTGTTATGCCGCAGGGCAAATAGAGAAGGCTATTTCGTTTGCAAAGAAAGCAATCGAGTTAGATGAACGCAACATCGAGGCGCAGTTACTGCGTGGACGTATTTGCTTGCAACTAAAACAAGGTATTGAAGCAATTTCGTATTTTCGCACCGCACAATGCATTGCCAGTTACCGCTTTGAGGTATATAAAGGTCTATATCATTGCTATGTGAGCAGAAAACGTCGTGACGAAGCACAGGCAATGTGTGCATTAGCAGTGCGGTACTTTCGCAATTCGCCACGCAGTTATGTGGTATGTGTGCACTGCGTTATAAATAAGTAACATAAATTTGAATGTGAAATTCTTTTATTTTAGATGTTTGCGCGCGTTTTATTACATTCCAATAATCCACTGGCAAAGAAAAGCGCCAAGAAATTCTTGGCCAAAGCTTTAGAAATCGATGAGCATTATGCCGTCGCTGTAGCACTTATGGCGGACGTGTGTCAGGCAAATGGTGAAACGCAAGAAGCTAGTGCCATGTTGAAAAAACAAGTTATGTCGTTTCCCAATCCCTCATATTTCAGCATGTTGGGTGATTTGCGACGCACTGCCAGAGATTTGGACGGTGCGCTTGAGTATTATACAATCGCATTGAGGTATGTTACAGATATGAGGAACAGAAGTAAATAGAAGTGGCGGCCAATACATTTTTGTATTCTCTTTTTCAGTCTTGAGCCTAACGATCGTCACGCCTTAAAAGGCGTGAAAGCGTTGACACGCGGCGGTGATAAACAAGATCAAGATACTTCGCTTATGATATCACGTCTGCGTGACGAAGAATGGCAAATTGATGAAGAAGCAGAGGAGTCGTCGTCACACGATGAGGACGATTCAGATACATACTCCGAACCATTTTGGCAAGATTTGGAATCGGAAGTGATTAATTAGTGCATTTCGAGGTTTGTAAGATTTTTTATTTCATTATACAATAGTTGGCAAAAATATGGCGCTAAAAGCGTACTTAGCCTAAGTAAAGTAGCTATTTATCTATTTAATTTTGTGTAGTCTAATGCCGGAAAGTACGTATTAAATGTTAATTTAAGCGCTATAATATGTGAAATATGTTCGTATATTTATTTCGACAAAAAAACAAATACAATTAAAAATAACATATGTGTGATTTTTAACACCTACGACGTCTTATCAGTTTCCATTTCTTCCTCGTTTGCGTTACTATTGTTGGCGGCAGCTGTTGCGCTGGTTGATTTTGCTTTATCCTTTTTGTCCTTGACGGCTTTTCGGTAAGTCTCCAAATCGGTTGACAATGGTTCCACGAAGCTTTCAAACTCCAATTGTTTTAAAGCGTCCAATATATTCGCAGCTGTTATAGTTTTGTGATTCTGTTTTCGCGCCAACGTTGTTGATGAGGATGTCAGAAAGATCACAAAGACGGAAGCCGCCCGTGCTATGGCCGCACGCGCTTCCTTGCTTACATTCGCGCCTTCGGGCAAGGCGTCTTTGATTAAGCGTCCCACAACGGCGTTTGGTAAATTTAAATCTTCAATGCGCTCAACCATGTTCAAATAAATTTGTATTCCAATCAAATATGTAAACTAAAATTGCTGTAAATTTACGAATTCTTCACTTTTATTTTGACACAAGCACCGAAACGCTAAACAAAAAAAAATAGTAAAAGCAGTGTTGCTTCTTCCAGTCAATTCAATCACAATAGTGAATTTTCGATGAAAAGATGTGCTTATGTCGATAAATATCGATTGTTTGAAAACAGTTGAAAATAAAATAAAGTATAAAAACATTATGAAAAGTTACCGATATAAAATATATAAAAAATAAGCTGCCGGCTAGCTTCCCGTGAGGTCACCTCGTGACTTTAAACTCACGTCACATCTAGACGCGAGAGTCATCTGAGCACTGGCCAGGCGTGGTGCTGCATTTCTTATATAGAGCCAGCTGCCGGCCAAGATCCCGTGAAGTCACCTCGTGAATTTCAAATCACATCACATCGAGACGCGAGAGTCACCTGAGCACTGGCCAGGCACGGTGCTGGATTTCTTATATAGAGCCAGCTGCCGGCCAGCATCCCGTGAGGTCACCTCGTGACTTTCAAATCACATCACATCGAGACGCGTGATTCACCTGAGCACTGGCCAGGC